AGCTGGCGGTGGGCGACACGGGCGGGAAGCTCTCCGTCTACAAGGGCCACGAGGAGAGCAGGCCGTGGGCGGTGCGGCCCTGCCAAGGGATGGTCAGTATGAAAGGTGCAGGGGATACTAAACTGGGAGGGGCGGCGGCGGCAAATACGGTAGAAGGCAGAGCCAGGACACAGGCTGGGAAACTGGGCTGAAACAAATAAAATGAACTTCAACGGGGATAAATGGAAAGTTCTGCACTTAGGTAGGAAGAATCAAGTGCATAATTACAGGTTGGGGGGAGACCTGTCTTGGCGGTAGTCTGTGCGAAGAGGATCTAGGGGTCTTAGCGCACCATACAGGGAACATGAGTCAGCAGTGTGATGCAGTTGCTAAAAAGGCAAATGCGATTTTGGGCTGTATCAGCAGAAGTATAGTGCCCAGACCACACGAAGTGATGGTATCACTTTGCTCTGCTCTGGTTAGACCTCCCCTAGAGTACTGTGTTCAGTTTTGGGCACCACAATTTAAGAAGGATACAGACAAGCTGGAACATGTCCAGAGGAGGGCAAGGAAGATGGGTGAGGGGTCTGGAGACCAAGTCCTATATGAGGAAAAGTTGAAGGAGCCTGGAGAGGAGGTGACTGAGAGGTGATAGGATAACCATCTTCAAGTACTCGAAGGGTTGTCATATAAAGGAGGGTGCAGAGTTGTTTTCTGTTGCCCCAGAATGTCAGACCACAACCAACGGATTGAAATTCAATCAGAAGAGTTTTCGGCTAAATAGCAGAAAGAACTTCCTGAAAGAACGGTTCCTCAGTGGAACAGGCTTCCTCGGGAGGTGGTGGTGGGCTCTCCTTCTTTGGAGGAGATTTTCAAACAGAGGCTAGGTGGCCATCTGACAGCAATGCGGATTCTGTAAACTTAGGCGGATCAGGAGGGCAGGAAGGGTTGCCTCAGTGCTTAGTTCCCGTGGCCCTTTCTTACACGCCCAGGGAAATGCTGATTGCCACTTTGGGGTCAGGAAGCAATCCTGGAGGTTTTTTGTCATCTGGGTGTGGAACTGCGGGTGTTGAGTGGGAGGTATTTGTGAATCTCCTACCTTGTGCAGGGGGTTGGACTAGATGAGCCTGGAGGTCCCTTCCAACTCTATGATTCTATGAAGCGAGGGACTCCCATTATCCTATGTATGAACTGACATAGGGGATAATCAAAAGATTCTGAGATTGCCGAAATCCCGATAGCAGCAGCATAAACTAACTGGGGTATTATTATGGAGTTGGAAAACCTAGATTGCACCAGGGATATATCCTCTGTCCCTTGTAAAGAAGAGGGGAGATATCGATATGGAAGCAGACCACTCTCTCCCCACCAGCTCAGTTGGAACTCTTTTGAGCAGTCCCTTTAAACCGGACTGTTCAAAAGAGCCACAGCTGAGCTTGCAGCCAGAGTTCTCCCCCCAGGATCAGCTGCGTTTGCGGGCTCTTTTGGGTGGCCTGGTTTAAAGGTACTGCCCAAGAGAGACCCAGCTGAGCCTGTTGTCAAATCCTGGACTCAATCGTTCTCATGACACTCTTGTTGCAGCAAGATTTGTTTATTG